CCCGGAGCGGAGCGGGCGGTCCCGGCGGCGGGAGAGGGGGGAGCCTAAAGGGGCCGCGCGAGCGTGGCGGGGGGTGGGGTGCGGCCATCCCGCCCCGCAAAATGGCCGCAGCGGCCTCGCGTGGGGAAAGGAGCGCAGCAAAACGGCTCTCGCGCTGCGAAACCCGCACGCGCGGCGGGGGAAGGGGGTAGGGAGCTGCTCAGGGGGCCAAGGCAACGTTTAGGCGTCTGACGCGCCCCGCAGGTTAACGGCTGCTTCGTCTGTGCGGGGCGTGAGGCAGGGACGCTCCGCAGCGCTGCCCGGCCGCGCCGAGGACACCGCGGGAACGGGCTGCGGCGGGAAACGGGGACACGGCCGCTCGGCTTCGCCCCCGAAACCCGCTTAGCTCCGGCGCCCGCGGGACGCGCTCGCCTCAGGAGCAGCGCTCAAGCGAGCGCGCTAATGGCGAGCTATATCCGTCCCGCGCAGCGCTCCCCGAGGGCGGGCAGAGCGGCGCTCGTGCTCGGAGGAGGCGTTTCAATGTGACCTCGAGGCCCGGCCCGCAGGCGCCTCACGGGGGAGAAAGCGAGGGGCGGGAAAGGTCACCTTGGGGGTCACMCAGCGGTGGTGCCGCCGCTGTGCGGGAGATCGCGGGGCGGAGCGAGCCAAGAGACAGCTTCGCTCGGGGGAAAACACCGCGGGAACGGCGGCCGCGCCGCTCCTGTCACGCCCGCCCGCCACGCGCGCGGTCCCTAACCACGGGATTTACCGCCGCGCCGCGTGACGCGCGGCGGCGCCGAGCTCTCCCATTGGCCGGCGCCGCGCTCAGCGCGTCCCCGCGCGTTCCCCGCGCGCCGCCCGGCCGCGCAGCGCAGCGCGGCGCCATGTCGGGGCCGAACGGGGAGCCGCACATGGCGGTGGGCGCCGCCGGGCGGGACGGCGACGACAGCGACGGTGACGACAGCTTCGGGGAGGAAGGTGCGTGGCGGCCGCGGGGGCCGGGCCGCCCTGCGCGGCCCCGCCGCGGGAGGCGACGCCTTCTCCTGGGGTTGTGGCTGCCGCCGGGGGCGTTAGCGGTTCTCGGCGGGGGCTCCCTGGTGCCCTCGGCAGCCCCGCACACGGAGGAGAAGCCCCCTCCCTGGCGCCATGGCAGCTCTCACATGTCACTTTATTTAATTTTTTTTTCCACTGTAAAAGAAGTTTATTCAGTGCTTTATTTAGTGTTTGGGCAACACCGACCAAAGAAAAGGGATATTCAGACTTTGAACCCATAGGAGATCTGCGCATGGGTAGGTCTGGTTGAAGCAGCTGTGAGGTTGCTGTTTGATGTGCTCAGCTTGGCACCGTACTTGGCACAGTACTTGGCACGTTCCACTTTCGGGCGCTTCTGCAGTGCCTGGGTATGAAATCTGTGCCTCTGCCCTGCCCAGGTGGGCAAGAATGAGAAAAGAGCAGAGCTTGGATGGGCTCCTGTGGGTCCCTCTTACCAGCACTGCCCTGAATGGCTCCGTCAGAGTAGCCTAAGAGAAGGAAGACAATTCTCTTGCACTGAAATTCATCCTCAGCTATTGGTAACGCAAATTACTGTACTGCTTAGGTATTTACAGTTCTTTTAAAGGCAGTTTTACTGTAAACTATGGAAGTGATTCCCTAGAAGAGCATCCAGCTCTACTGCTTACCCTCTCCTTGACCTGTTCCAGGCTCGGTTCCTGGAAGAGCTGCTTTTGGAAGTGGCAGAGCTGCACAGACAAGTGATTATTCACCACAGGCAAATCATGCCTGGTAAAATCCTGCCAGGCCCTCTTATCCACCCCAATACGTGTCTACTTCAGAGCTGAAGTCGTTGTGGATGGGCTTGGTGTGACACGGGTTACAAAATGATAACGTCCCTGGGGTCGTTCTGAGGGTCTGGCACGTGCGAGGGGTGGTGGGCGCTTTGCRGAGGTGCTCGCAGATATTTGGAATCGCTCAGCCCTGGCCCTGGGAGCTCCCCGGAGGCTGCTCCGAGCCGTCCCTCCTGCCTTTCTCCAGGTTCTCCGCTAGCTCGGAGCAGCCTTCCCGGCTCCGCACGCACGTTGCGCTTGGCACCAAGGCTCCCGGCCGCCCCGAGGAGCCTGGCAGAGAAGGGGCAGCGCCAAGCGTGGCGCCGCGAGCCCCTCTTGCCCTCTTTCCTCTGCTGCAGCCCATGGGCCCCACAGATCTGAGCCCCTCCGTCGCGCCCAGCCCGCGCGTCCTCAGAGCAAACCAGGGACCGGCTCTGCCCACGTCTCCTGTGACCCCTATGAGGTTTCAGCTCTTGCCAGATTTCCAGTTCCTAAGTAACTTAGGAACTTATCTTGTAAGTTAACTTGTAAGTAACTTGTCAGCAGGGGTTTTATCTTGTCTGGTTTTCCAGCGTGGCTTTTTGTTTTTCTCTAAGATTGCATGAGTGTTGCTTGGAGTAATCCAAAAGCAAGTGTTTTATCTCAGCAACACTGCTCCCTTTATCTGATGAACAGAAGTAATACGCATTGCTGTGAAATGCCATTGCATCAAGGCTAACAGTTTTGCACTTAAACACTTTAAATAAGAAAGAATAAGTTTAAATAACTAGGGAACCTGCTCTGTTTCACTATCAGATTCATCTCTAAGGTTGCAAAAAGTTAGCAGGATCATTTTGCATAAATTTCTTCTGGTTTTAACCTGAAATCTTAATGGTGCATGACAGTGCTGTGGTTGGACTGGGTGTTTCAGTTATTTCACAGTGGAGACTGGAGTAGCTGCTCAGCATCTTTCGGTCTCATCCCACCTTGTGCCACAGTAGCGGCTCTCCTGCCTGTCTTACCAAAACCAGGCCCTTGTGAGAAGCATCTGAGCCTAGAGGCTTTGCAGAATGTAAACTCTCTGATCTGCTGCCAAAACGCTGGCAGCCTCCTAAAGGAGGATGATCTCTAAGGCTGCTAAAAAGGCAGACATGTCCTTGGGATTTATTTCTGTTGCTGTGCAGATCTGTGCACTAACCCTGAGCCTGGGACCAGCTATTTGTGCAAGAGAGCAAAGGCTTGTTGGTGGCCGGACTGCGTTCCACGTGCCCAGGTTTTGTGCCTTAGATCCTGTTACCAGCCCCACTTTCCCTGTGGTCTTGTGATCAATGAGCACAATTCAGGCAGGATTTGGTTGCATTTTACTTCAGCCAACCTGTGGCAGGTTAAGGCATGACCCAAACGCCGTAGACGTGTTTTGCTCTTGCTGCCTTAGCTGGCTGCAGTCACAGTACTTACATTCTTCAGTCTCTCATTTCCCTTCCCTTTAGAATACGCAGCAATAAACTCCATGCTAGACCAGATCAACTCTTGCTTGGATCACCTGGAGGAGAAGAACGATTATCTGCACGCCTGCTTGAAGGAGCTGCTGGAGTCCAACCGCCAGACCCGCCTGGAGTTCCAGCAGCAGAGCGAGCAGCAGAACACGGGGGACGAGGTGCAGGGCTCAGAGCCGTCTATCTAGCAGCCTAGCCACCCACTTGTCACTTGGGATCACTCGGGGGACAGTTAGTGGTTGCTGGTCTAATGTAAAGCTTGACTAGAAGAGTATCTCCTGCCTGTTGCGTGTCCCTTCCTGGGGTTACGTTCTGCCCTTCACCTCTCTGTTCTGCAAGATTCACGTTAGTTGTGGTGTAAGAAGCATTGGCAGACATCTCAGACCAGGCTCTTCTATCCCCTTCCAAGCAGCTGAGACAAGGCACCAGTGTGAGGGGTTTTGGTTGTCCTCAGGGGCAGTTACCTACCTCCTTAAGCTCCATTAAGGTCTCAGAGTGGTTGGGTCTCCATATATGATAGTTGGAGTAAGAAGGGGCCTGCCTGCCCCAGGCTGGGACCAGCCCTGTGCATTGGGAGCTCTATAGTCTGAAACCTTCTGAATTTGTCAAGAGGGCCTAGGGCCAACGTGGTAAAGTGAGTCTTATTACATTGTTCTACTTTTGTACAGTTAAAAAGAGTTTTTTGGGAAGTTAAAGTTATTTATAAAAAAAAAAAATTATTAAAAAGTTTGAAACAAAATTTGCTCCTAAAGTCTCCACTATGAAACATTCTTTTTTTTTTTTTTTTTTTTTTAAGTTTTGTGCTGTTAACAGATGATCAAGATACATATCCTTGCCCAGCTCAGCACACAGTTCTTGTCCAGGAGTGTGCAACCCTTGAAAGAAAGCTGGTCTGAGGTGCAGAATGGGACATCTACAAGAGCTGAGCTACCCTTCTGCCTGGAAAAAGGAAACAGAGGATTCTTAAGGAGGGGGGGAAAAAGACAGGCTATATACATGTAACTTCTGAACCTTGTCTCTATGAAGATCACATCACCTATTGAATCTTTCAGATTCAATAACACAATCTTCAGTCCTTCCACAGTCCTACYGTATCCCACCCATACAAGCAAAAATCAACACCATCCCCTATTAGACACGCTAAAGCCAGGCTTATTTTATTCTTAAAATAAAAACAGCAGTAAAGTTGAAGGTTTTTGCTCTATTAAAAGACTCCGAAAATAAACATTTCCAGCAAATATCATGTGTGAAGGGCTCTCCCTTTAAGGCCACTCTATCTGGGCTTGCGCCTAGCGGAGCGCCTGCACCCAGCAGAGGTGAGAGCGGCTGCCTCCCCTCTGGTGAGGGAGGAAGGCTCAGCCTCTTCCTCCCGGCCTGCGCACGCTGCCTCGTTCCGCTCTAACCCTGCTGCGCTCCCCACATCCTGGCAGTTGCCTGTTCCTCTGCCTTGCCTGGCTCTGTGGCCGCCTTCCTCCTCACACCCAGCATGTCCCAACAACTCCCCTGCGGTGCTGCTCTCTTCCAAGGGCAAGAAATCGGCACTAGTGGTAGTGGACTTGTTCTCCTCCTGGAGATTTCCTTCTTCCACAACCGGCACTCCACACATGTCATCAGTCTCGCTGGCTAGGATTTGGTCCTCTGCTACAGAGGTGGCCAGCTCATCCTTACCCTCCGGAGACCACGGAGCCGCTTCTTGCTCTGCAGCCAGCTCTGTGCCTTCCTCGCCTATCCCACGGTCTGTGTTCATCTTGCTGGCATCGACAGCTGCAGCAGGAGGCTTTTTCTGATCATCCAGCACTTGGGAGCTGGAACCCTGGGAATGCAGAGGAGCCCCGGAGTAGGCAGCTGTGGCATGATGCCTCGCTGCCTTGTATCTCTGCAAACATAAATAAAGCACCGTGAGCGCTGAGCCCAGCCCATTACTGGCACTGCAGCAAGTAGCAGCTGGTCCAGGAACACCTGTACAGAGACAGCAGTGAGTGACAGCTAGGATCTGTAGGGTGCAAACTGCCTCGGCAGCTCTCCTGGCCTGGCTGCTGAGCCTTTTGAGCAGAGAAGGGTTAGCTCCTGCGAGGAAAAGTGGTGATATTAAAAATTGAACTCTCGCTTAATGCTGAGCAAGTGCGTGACATGTGCTTCCTAAGACCAAAAAAAAAAAAAACAAAAAAAACAAAAAAAACCCCACCACCTTATTTTGACAACTGTTCATCTCAGTCAGGGACTTTGCAGCTATAACAGTCAAAAAAGTGAGAGCTCTTGCTCCAGCTACTGCCAGGATTCAGCTCTGGACATGTACTCTTGACACAAGGGGCTATGGGCTGTCCTTGGCTAGAGAGAAATGATTTACTCTTTGACCACCACAGCAAGATTTAAATTGGAAACTTAGGATTTTTCAGTTTGCTGATACAATCTGTGCCACTGCACTGCTCTGTGCACCAGGATCGGGGAGCCCTTCAGTGAGGCAGCTGATGGGAATATTAAGATATGAAGAATATCTTGCTACAAGGCACTGAGTTTTTCTCTAGACTGCAGTTAAACATCAATAAAATGAGTCAGTTAACTAGTGACCACAGGAAACTGGCAGAGGTCTGGAAAGACATAAACACGGCCACTCCCTCTGGACTACATTTCAGGAAAGCACCAGCTCTGCCCGGCATCCGACATGCAAAGAGCCAGTCCTCCAGGCCCAGACTCATTTTCAACTAGACCCAACATTTAGAAGAAATTCTTTGGTGTGCACCAGCTTTCCCCACAGTCTAAGCAGTGTCACTGCAGTCCAGTGTTGTATTAAGGTGCTTCAGACAGACAGCTTTATGTTTTAATTCAGTTTATCACTGCAGGCTTTTCTGTCCCTGACCTTAAGGGATAGGATGCTTTTCATGGGCAGGGTGTTATATCCCTCACTTTTAATTACCCAAATGGTAGCCGTGGCCCTGACCATACTTTTATTACACGGGATACTTCTGTTTGCAACATTCAGTTTCACTTTTAGAAGTTTGCCCAGAATTGCTACAGGTTCATTTCAGAGGAGGCGGAAAATAACACCCAGATGTTGTTCCCTAGAGTTGAGGGTAGAGTGAGAGGCTGGATACCATCGCACACTGGAGCGAGACCACTTGAGTCATAACTCTGAACGCAGCCTTAGCTTGGCACAAACGTGCTGGATTGTTTCCAGAGTGATGCTGTGAACTGCCTCACAAGCAGACAATTTGAAAACCCTTCACTGGTGATTTAACCTGATGAGAAAAAATGCTTTTAACCTCAAAAAGTAGAAGGGATTTAACTCTTGACGATGACAACCCCAAGGCCTCGAGGCAGCCAAGATGAATTGTTATTTGTCTGGAGATATTTAGGGTTGGCTCTTGTCCTTCCAGGTCCCTACAAATCCATTTGAAGGGTGCCTGATTTCAGCTCTAAATCAGCCAGAAGGGAGGCATACACATTGCTGCTGCAGTTTCACACCAAGCTGTTCTAAAATAGGGCAAGAAAGTTTTGTTCCAAAAGTGGGTAGCGGGAGTGGGAGAGGATGAGCAACCCCAAGAACAGCTGCAGTCTTCTCCAGCTACTTGCCATTCCAAATCCCCAGCTCCAAGCTTCCAAAGCCCCTTTCTGCACCAGCCTTTGCTGTAGGCAGCGACAGCAGCTCGGGAGCAGTTAACCTAGGTGAAGGCCAGCAGAAAAGCAAAAGACTGAAAGAGAAAGATTGAAAGTATCTGCTCATTCTGCTGGGCAGATTTTGAGTGCAAGCAGAGGACAAGGTGACAGTGGGAACCTCCCTCCTTAACAGAGTCAGGGAATATCACTCGCCCACCCAAGCAGTGGGCACCGAAGGGAGACAGTAGAGACAGTTCAAGTCCTGCATAGCCCCTACAAGGCACTAACCCAGCCCCTCACCTACTGCAAGTCGAGAAGGACACAAGGATGGAGGTAGATTCCAGACCTGCCCAGTAGAGAAAATTCCTAGATAGGAAAGCAGCAAGGGGGCCGTAGGGACATTCCTACATCTTCACATGGAGCCAGTAAAGCAAAGGAACAGCATTAGTTGGCCACGCTTTGTGCTAAACAGTGCCTGGGAAAGGTAGCACACTGACCGAATGACTTTCTGCTGCTGGCTGGACCTTGGAGCCCAAACGGACCCTCACCAGCACTTGGCTTGTAATTGCCGTTGTCTAAGTAGTGCTGTAATGTTTACTTCCAGATTTTTAAGATGTATATCTGATATTACCTGGCCCCTTAGTGGATGAATCACACCAGCAATTCTGATTTAAGGAGCTGTTTCTGCAGTCACTGTAGCATCACATGAAAAAAAATGTATATGTACCAGCTTTCTTGAATAGCCTCTTTTTGTCTAATTCCTTCCCCATTTTAACCCATCTGCAATCTGTCTATCAGAAAAGAAGATGCCTAGACTTGAATGAGAGACTCCACAGGTTCAGCAAACAGAGCAGACACTCTGAGAAAGATTTCCAGCTAGAAATGGGCAACAAGATGACAGTAGCAGTAGCTGGGAAGCAGGATTGGACTGGTTTTCAATCTACAGGGGTGATGGAGACAAGCACAGAGCACATCAGGAAAGCTGTGGCATGATGGACATCAAGGATGATGGAAATGAACTGGAGACAAGACAGCTAACGTGGAGGAGTCACTGAAGAGACACGCACAGAGGTAACAAATGCCAGGCCATGCAATCGCCAAAGGGTCTAACCTGAAAGTTCTCAAAATGCATCAGGGACTTGCAGTGTGCGAGCCGGGCAGCAGAGTCGCTATGGTAGAATTTGTGACACAGCCTGCAGAGGTAACCTGCGACGGGGACCAGAAAATCCAGGCCTGCGAAACGGGAGGGGAAGGGAAATCACAGATCACATTGAATGGAACTCAAAAATAATGAAGGCATGTTAAAAGGGAAATCAAAGATGCAGGGAATAAAAAAATGGAAGGCTTTGCTTCTGTTAATCAGGGATTTGCAAGATGACTTGCTGAATATCGCATCTTACCACAGAATGTCTGTGGGGTTGATATTCAGAGAGAAATCTGGCTACCAGAGCAAAGAAACTACACAGATCATTAAGGAAAAAGAAGGGGAAAAAAAGTGGGAAAAAGAAAAAGAATACAATGGAAAACTACAGAGAACATGTGATCTAATGTAATGGGATCAAACCAAGCAGAAGACAGCAGGCGCGCAAGAGGAACACGCAGAGAACATTCACAGCATGAATCATTATTCCATCTGCCACATGATAGTGGAAGGTTACAGCGATGTGGAAAATCGGTGTAAACAGAGCTCTCCTTGGGCACCAAACTACCTCTGCAGAGCTGCCCTCCTCACAACACGAGTGGCCATTAGAGGTTTGAAGTCAGAACTGTGTTCATGGTGGGGACTGGAGACAGACATGTGGAGGCAGCACTGCCCACCAGTGCAGAAATGTGTCTGAATCGCCACTAGGTAGAGCGTGGGGGTTCTGAAGCAGAGGAAACATGCACAGTTTGGGCTCTGGCAGAGCGCTCGATACTGTCAGTACTGCTCAGTATCTCTATACATGCTGCATTTCTGCTGGAAAATGTTCTGATCAACATGCTCTCAGGCTCCATCCTCTTTCCAGAGCATCCTTTATTTGCTACCTACTTTCTCCAGTACTTCTGCCCTACTTGTT